AATCCTCACCTGAAGACATAGCAACATGTTTATCTTGTGTATTGTTAATGCAGCACCCTGGGAGCGGAAACCTCAAGTAGGACTCCAAGCTGCTGGGAGGAGTTGCTTCCTGACAAGATCACATCTTCTGGATAATTGAATGGACCATGAATGAGAGAGGCTTTGCAGAACTTTCAAGTGAAAAGTTTAAGAACCTTATTGCTTTCTGCAGCTGTAACCTTGTAGGGGTCTTCCCGGTTAGAAATATTTCCTGTGTTTCTCTTCATAACTGAGAGATCAGCTCTGTGAATATCTTTTTGTTAACTTGGCTACATATTTGCTTCTGCAGGACATTTGTGCTGCTTTGGGGGCTTGGATTCTTTTATTTCATAGCTTGAAACTTACTTAGATCATGCTTACAATATAATGGTGATCCATATTTGATGCTTTGTAAAGAAGTTAAACTATTAAATGATATTTCCTAAATCGATCCTGATGTCTGCATACTGTTGAAGAACATTAAAAGCCATGGTTTACATTTGGTTACCATATGCCAAAGCTCAAATGCATGAAAAGTCAATTGTGAATTTCTATTGATTTAGACTTTTACCTATTGTTTTTCAAAAAATAAATGTGATTATCAAATTCACTATGAAATTTCCATATTATATGACATTATCTCATGTTTCTAGGTCCTTCTAGTTCCCAGAAACTGCTCATAGAGGTCTTAGCTTCTAATACTATTTTTTTTTAATTATGTATTTGGTACAATACACAGCTTGGACTCCCAGTGATCTTTTTGTTTCAGCTTCCCTAGTGCTGGGATTACAGGTCTCGGTGGCCGGCTCAGTGGGCCACGGCTGGGGCCGGCACGGCACGTAAGGGGGTATTGAATCTGGGTCCATGGACTTGCCTAGGCAGGTGCTTAGACCTACCTGAGCTATCTCTGTGGCCCTGTAATTTTTTTTTCCAATTTTTGTGTATTTGGTACAAGGTCTCACTACGCAGCTCAGACTCATAGTGATCCTCCTGTTTTTTGCCTCCCCAGCGCTAGGATTACAGGTGTGTGCCACCATGCCCAGATTCATTTGCTGGCTTAGTGTGCCCTGGGGGCAGGTCCAGTGTAGCATGTGGGACCAGGGATCAAACCCTGGTCCCTGCGCTTGCAAAAGCAGGTGCTTAGTCCACTGAGCTACCTCATTGTCCCTCATGGCCCTCTAATAATTAATTTTTATAAGCTAGATTGGGTAACTATCATTCTCAAATCTTAGTGCTGCAGATTTTTTACACATTCTACATATGGTAAGTTAAAGGTCATTTTTTTTTTTTTTTTTTATTCTTAGGGAAGGGTCTACAGGGTGTTCAGGCTCACTACTAGGTCGGACTTGTGGTGATCCACCAGTTTACAGCCTCCCAAGAGCTGGGATTACAGGCTCAAGTCACCACGCCCAGTCTCAATGGCTCAACATGCCCTGGGGGTGGGGCTGGCACTGCAGGCCTGGGGATTGAACCCCTGACCCCTGTGCCTGCTTGCAGGCACTTTAATCTGCTGAGCTATTTGGCTGGCCCTTAAAGACCACTTTTATGCTTTTTATATTTTCATCTAAAATAATAAACTTGTGAAGACGAAGAAGGCTGTGTTTGAGAAGGATTCTTTTTTTTTTTTTTTTTGACTGGTTCAGGCTACCTTTAGGGCGGGTCTAGTGCAGCTTGTCGAGCTGGGGATCGAATTTCAGTCCCCCTGCACTTGACTGAGTTTGCCCAAGCAGGCGCTTTAAGCAACTGAGCTAACAAGCAAGCCCCCAGAAGCTGCGCTTGAAAACAGAATCTTTTACAGTTCACTGTGTAGTCAGCAAGTTATTGTCGTAATCATAAGTCAAGAAGATTTTTGGACTGAATCTTTCTCTCTCTCTCTCTCTCTCTCTCTCTCTCTCTCTCTCTCTCTCTCTCCATGGTCTTGCTGTGTAGCCCAGGCTGGTCTGGCACTCACAGTGACCCTCCTGCCTCAGTTTCCCAAGTGCTGGGATTATAGCTGTGTACCATCACATCTGGCTTGGACTGATTTTTCAAGAATCATTTTTGTATAAAAGGACTCACATCTCATAGTATATATTACCTTTTGCTGTTGCCATTAGTTTTGTTTTGAACAAAAATAACCATGGAACCTGGAGAATAGCTGAGTCAGGTAGGATGAGAATACAGGAGAATGAACATTATCGTATGTCGTCTGAGTTACAAATGCTGTGTGCAGGGCCTGGAATTTGGTCTCCACAGGTGGTAGCATTTTGAGGCAAGTTGTTTGTCACCATGGAAGCTGGCAGGCCTGATTTTGCACCATCCCAGGACCTGAGGGTCGTGGAAATAAACAAAGACCCTCCAAATGAAAAAGGCATTTTTATGTAGAGCTCCAAGTTGGCCACTACTGCTTGTGTTTGCATGGAAGCTCAAAGGCAGGCCCAGGAGTGGGAAAGCCTTCTGGTGGGGAGAGGTGGTGCCTCCCTTGCAGTGAGTTCTGGACTCAGTAGGCACGGGTACCCTGTCCTTAGCTGGAGGTGCACATTCAGCTTCCTTGGCTCTGGTGGTTCTTACTTGGGAAGCAGGACTGCAAGTTAGGGAAGCTGTCAGCTCTTAGTCAGGTCCTGACCACCCAGGACTGGTTCCTACGTGAGTTATTGTTTAGCCTTCTGGACAGTCCTGAGGGATGCCGTCTGGTCTCCAGGAACCCGACTTACCACAGCCTTACTTTTTGCACTGTTGTAGATAATGGCAGATTTTCTGAGTAGGTGGGTAGAAGTTTTGTTGCTGCTGTTGTTTTTCAAGTGAATTTTTATGAGTCCATGTTCGTCGTATGTAAGGCTCGCAGTCCTCATGGGAAGTTGACCACTGCAAGCAGCACATCCCAATTCTCTTCTCATCACCTTCCTGTCCCTTCTCTTTCCTCTTGGATCCCCTTCCTGTTTGCAGAAGATCTGTCTGTTTCTCATGGATCTTCATTTTTGCTCTTTAATTTATTTGCACCTTGGTTTTCTCATATGAGAAAAACTGCAATGTTTAAGCTTAGGTGTCTGATTTATTTCACTTGACATTCTGGGCTCCTGTTGCATCCATTTTCCTACAAATAACTTGTGCAGCCTTCTTTATGGGAGAGTAGTACTCCATGGTGTGCAAATACCACATTTTCTTTATCTACTTGCTTGTGGACATAGAGGATGCTTGTGAGATGTAGCTGTCATGAACGGTCTGGCTAGTGGATGCATACTCTGTGCCAAGGCTTCTTGGACTAATGAGTGTTAGTAAGGGGTGTCAACCAATAGGTGTGTGTGTAGGGGGGTGAGAGACACAGACAGAGCCAGAGCTGAGAAATCAGAAAACCATTGGGCAGACTCGTAGACTAGAGATTCACTCAGCTCTTTTGATCTTGAGTCTGCACACAGTAAGGTGGGAATATGGGTAGGAGGAGGGGAATGTGTGAGAGTGCACTGTAGTCTGTGCATTTCCCAGGGAGACATCTGTCTTTGCCCTCCAGCTCTAGAATTGATTGGATGAAGCCTGCCACATGACACAGCTTCAGCTCCTTCCCTTGAGAGTTTATTTGCTTCAACAGCAGTCACACCTAGCAACCATCTTTACAGCAGCTTCCTGCCTGGCATTTGCCCAAACACTCTGCACCATGGTTGGCAGGAAAAAAACCTTGTGACCATCTAAGAAGGCACCATTGGGAGGATCAGGCTTTAGTCTGTGCACAGCGTACTCAATTACTACAGGGCTATTGTTCTCAGTCTTGATGCAGGGCAGCTCTGCGTTGTACTTGGTCATCCCTTTGGCTCAAGCCACCTTGGTCCTTGAATGACTGAAGAAACAGTGACCCCCAAAACAAACAAAACACATTAGGATGTTTTTCACACTGGACAAATCAGCTGCCTCTCTATATAAAATGTGTTTAAGCAATTCACAAATATATTCATGAATATATCTCTTTGAATTTAATGAATGAAGTACATTTGCTGAGATTGTAGTAATTTTAATTGGCATGAACACTATAATTAATATTCCTGTTTGAGTCATCACTATTCAGATTCAAGCAACTAACTGGACTTTGAGTTGATGTCTGGTGAAAAGATCGACACAAGCACATAGGTCTGCTGTACAGCAGTGCTCCAAGCTGCCTGCTGGTCCACTGTGTCCTTGCTGGCAGGGACGCGTGAACACGCATTCACTTCATTGTACAGCTGGTTCTAAAAGAGGGGGCAACCTGTGAGCACACCTCCCAGTCAGGGCAGACGGCCAGACTTTGGGGCCACCACTGTCCTGGGTGGTTATCTGGAGCCCAAGACGCAGAACTCTAGCATTGGGCGCCCCCAGCCACGGCTGAAATTCAGCAGGTGAGATTGCTCCCATGCCGATACCTGTCTGCCCTGCCAGTCATTTTCTTCAGACGTTTCAGAAAGCCTTTTTCTAGCGCCTGCCCAGCAGGACAAGGAAGACTCAGCTTGCCTGTGTGTGTCTCTCTGAGCCCTTGTGCACCGTGACTCCCAGTACTTTCAATTCACATGATAAAAGGAACAAAATCTGCCCTTTTCAGTGTCCTTGTACATTTCCCGTTAGTTTTCCAGTGAATTCTGTTATAAAGTGGATAAGATGATCCATTATTTTTGAGTTTTACACAAAAACTGCCTGCTTTGCTATGAGAGGGGAAGCTCAGAAAGCAGTGGGGGAGCTGGGATATTTTCAGAATATTTTTCAGAAACCAAGACATCCTTTTAACTACAGGGAATTCCTAAATGACCTGGTTCTTCTGAGGAGTCAGGTACAGCCCGGAAAGACACATTTGTTTTTCACAGAAATGAAATCTCAGCCTTATGTTTGTAGAGTGAGAAATCACAGACTCACTTAATCACTCCGGTGGACCTAAGGAAAGGTTCAGAAGAAAGAAAGAAAGAAAAAAAAAAAAAAAAAAAAAAAAAAAAGATAAAACTTGAATACATTGTAGAAAAACCCAGAAGGAGGGGGCCGGTGAGATAGCTCAGCAGTCCAAGGCACCTGCTTAGGCAAGCTTAGGTTAAACGCAGGGACCGTGGTTCATACCTCCGGCTAATGTCAAGGAAGAAATAAATAACACAACGTGAAGAATGAGCTTAATGCTCTCCATCAAGGAGGAATTGAAGCTTATTATTTAAAATGAAAAAAAAAAAACTTACAAATTATCCAACTGCAAGTGATTTTAGAAAAGTATTTCCATTTCCACAAGTTAATTCCATTTGCTTCCTTTTACAACTACAAACTTAGAAGCAAGCGCAATCAAAATAACCGGCTTTTAAGAAAGACATTAAAGACTTTCCAAATGCTTCCTTTATTTAGTCTGTGCATTTGATCAGATGTTGACTTAACGTTCACAAAATAAATTTAAATGTATTCCACTGAGAACCCTAGGGTCCAGCTAACGTCCGCGTTCAGACGGCTCTGCAGCAGACTCGTGTAGTGCTGGGGATTAGAGACTTCCGAAATCCGAACTTTTTATACTGCTTATATTTAACTTCTACTACAGAAAAAAAAAAAAAAAAAAAAAAAAAAAAACCCTCAGGCCTGCCCCCTCCCCCCATTTATTGATTCAGGTGTTTTCTCCCTGTTGAATTAGAACAGAGAAAGGAA